CTTCCAGTCTAATAAGGGAGACTACGTGGGTATACAGAAGTGGATACAAAAATCTTTTGGGACCAGACTAGTGACTTTATTAGGATAGGGAACTCTCAGCAGGACAACTCCCTCCACAAATTCAGGTCTACACTTGCTCTGCATTTTATAGTCTTACCGCCCTGGGGGAGTGACAGGTTAAACACCTTGGAGCAAGTAAGTGTCAGAGGTCAGTCTTTCTGTGGGAGGCCAGTCTGGTGTTCACTATGAAGCAATGACTAGGCTACAAATTGTAAACAAAATAAATTTCAAAAATTCAAGACAACCTGGGGTGGGGAAAGGCATCATAAGTCACTGAGAAGATGAAGGAAGACCTCATATCAAAGGTGATATGAAGGGAATCCATGAAGGTGAGTGGGGTGGCAAGAGCTCCTTCATAGCCAACTTGGACCAGTGGGGAAGGACTGGTTGCTGAACGGGGCTTGACAGGGCTATGGTGTGGTGGTGGTGGTGGTGGTGGTGGTGGTGAGTATTTCCTCTTAGAACCTGTTATAGAGAAGAGGAAAGGTAGGCCTTGCTGTGAAAGTACAATCACCTTGGGCACAACAGTGAAGGGTGGCCAGTGTTTTTGTTTGGTCCAGAGCATGAGCATTTGACTCAATTCAAGATTTTAAACTAAGTGGTTTAGAGGAAAGATTGCTTGGATCCCATGGACTAAATATCTATGGGGGGAGGAAGTCAGCCCAGGAGGGAGGCACACTGACACAACTTCAGAGAGAAAGAATGTGGGGGAGAGGTAGAAAAAATGCACGTGTGGCAGATTTGAAGCAGATTGTGTAGAAGAAGGAAGCCAGAGGAGGTAAGAGGGGATGACTTTGGAATCTTGGCACAGTCATGTGTCATGGATATCACCCATCTCCCCATATACACCAGAGTGTGCATACATGCACACACACGTGCACCCACGAATGCACACCAGTCCTGCCTCTCCCTGCTGGTGGTTAGGCCCTGGTACCATGTCCACATACTCTGCATCTGCCTTCTTAGATGCCTGTTCTCCCCCCACCCCCCACTCTCCCTCTGTCTCTTGTCTCAGAGCCTCCTAGGAGTCTTGGAATCATCGACCTCAGCGCAGCTCTTAAATGTCCCCCTTCCCCTTCTCCCTCTCTGGGGGCATTAGGGGCTGCTCTCTGTGCTGAGTGAAGTTAGAAGTTGGACGATGTTTAGAGGGGATGATTTACCTTCCTGTGCCCTGAGAGAGGGCTCTCCCATTCCTATCCCACATGCCCTTTACCAAAGAGAGGTTCTGTCCCAGGCCCAGAGGAATGGGAGAGGGTCAGGGCAAAGTGTGAGTTCTCACCAGCACCACTATCCTCTGCTCTGGGGATCTGGAGGCTCTTTTCCTCCATCCATCCTACCACCATGACTCTGCAGGTGAGTGTAGGGGACACCCTTGCCCCGAATTGACAAACTGTGGGTAAAAGGAAGAGCAGGATGCAGCCCCAGTGTGGTTTCCAGAATTGCTGTCTTCTGTGCTCTCTCCCTCACTACCCTCAAATCTAGGCCCAAGATTTCACATCAGACACTTGTGAGGTGGGGAACATCTCTTCTCACACTGTGCCTTCCTCTCCTGGTGTCAGAGGAGCACAACAGCTATCCCAGGGCCACCTCAGTTTGCCCTCCCCTGGGTTATTTCCATAAGGAGCTGGTTGATAGGGACATATAATAAGAAAGAATTTGACAAACTAGTGAGGAGTTCTCTGTGCTTACCTGAGGGTCTGGGGTGTGCATGGAGGAAGTACTCATGCTTGGCCCTGATCCTCTGGTCCAGACTCAGCCATGTCCATGAGGACCCAGTGCTGGGCACCTCCTCCTTCAGCACCTCTGAGCCCAGCCTTGGGTCAGAAGCAGAGGGACATCCCAACACCTGGACAGTCCCTCCTTGACCTTAGTGATCCCTCCTGTCTCACAGACAGCTATCCTTTGTGCCCCTTTACCCTCCCCCACACCACCAAGGAGCCACCTCTGACTCACCCTCTGAACTTAAGCTCAGCCCTAGGACTCTCTAAAGCCAAACAGACAGGGAGATACATGTGGAGGGGGAGGGCATGGCCAGTCTTCAGCCCCATCCTCAGCTGCCTGACTCACATTTGATCTAAGTTATATAGGGTATGACTGATTTTCTTTAATCACAAGGCATTCTCTGGGTGGAGTTATGTGTTTCTATCCGGTCTGTACCTGCTCAGCCTTTGACTGGTTGATCCATTGAGTTGTCTAGGCCTTGTCCACATCTAGTTTTCACCTTTGATTGGTTAATTCTGTAATTCCATCAAAGGAGAGTTCTTAGTGCTGGAAGCTAAATGACATAGTGGATGGAGCGCTGGACTTGGAGTTAGGAAGACCTGAGTTCAAATCCTGCATTAGACATGGAGCAAGTCACTTAAACTCTCTGTGCCTTAGTTTCTTTAAAATGGGAATAGTTATAGTATCTACCTCTAAAATGTGTTCTGAGATCAAATCAGATGACATACATAAAGCACTTCATAAACTTTCAAGTTCCTACAAATGCTAATTATTATTATTAGTAGAAATAGTGATAGTCAATAAACATTTATTAAGTGCCTGCCCTGCACCAGGCGCTGTACTAAACACTAGGGATAAAAAGGGAGACAAAAGACAATTCCTGCCCTTAAGGAACTGTCCGTGGTAGTCAGAGCCTAGGAACATGACGTCTTGAATCTCACAGAGACCGTAAATTACCTTGAGTAAAAGTAAACAGCAAAGGAAGATGCAGCTATCCCATGAGAAAGCTTGTATCATGTGACCCTGGGCCATCCTGGCACTCTGACTCCTTTATTCTGTTTCTATAGAATACCTGGTCTGTCCCAGGGCTGGTGCATGATCCACCATAATTCTTTGTCCTGCTGCTGCCCAGAGCAACTGACCTCTTTTGAGTAAACTCTCCCATTAACCTAAATAACCCTGACAAAACCTATTAATAACCAAACTGGGTGTGCACCCTTCTTTGAGATCTCAGCATTTTCCTCAGGTGTTTGCCACCCTACAGTTGACATAATTAGGGCAGAATGATTCCATCCCTTTGCAGGAGCTCATAATCTGATGGGGAAATACAACATGCTAAAATATATTAATATTATTTTTTTTCCTTCCTAAGTCCTACAGTCTCCCCAAGAATACGTAGTACTTGCTGGTAGTTTAGACACCCCTCCAGAAAATAAATATGCTTCTAGGGCTGCTAAACAAGCAACCTCCTTTCCCTACTAAAGATTAGACATATTACTGTCCAAGTAACTCATTGGTGACAGTATTTGGAACAAATTAGGTGCTTAATGAATGCATTTCCCATTCCATTCCAGTTACGCATCAGAATGAGATTTAAGCTCTGTGAGCTCCACAAATTTATTGAGAGGCACACATTGATCTCCTGATCAACCTCATACCCCAGCTTAGACTCTCAGAACACAAAACGTTAAGTATTTGCTGTCAACCCTCCCACAACTCCAGACTAGTAAGTCAAGTGGGGTACCCTAGAAGACCTTCTATACCCCAGTTTAAGACGGTTCTCTGGGAAAGCTCTAGTAGCTGCTGTCATTTAGATTTTTGCATTACCTCCAAAGTTCCAAGCACTAATAGTCCATGACCTTAGAGGGTCAGGTCGAGAAAGCAGGAGTGTTTAGCCTGGAAAGGAGAAAGTTTGAGATGGGGCCATGAATGAGAGTTGTCCTTAAGGGAGATCCTTTATGCCTGTCCTGGCATGACTAGGTGCACTATCGAAGCACTTTTGGACTTGAAGGAAGAAATGACAATGTGGGGAGAGGATGTTTTTTATCGACTATACTATACTAAACGTCTCCTTTCTAAAAGCTACTTCAGTCTGGCTCACTAACCATTGGAATCACACCGGTGAGGGTTCATGTGCCATCAAATTAGAAAGACAACCCCAAAGCCCTTAAAGATACCCCTAGAGCTCTGAGGAGAGATATGGGAGCCACCCTTTGGAGATCCAGCTTGTTAATGAGACTTAGCGCAATGGCTCCAGGCCATTTGCATTCAATATAATATCCAGCATAAAGGGAAAGAAGACTTGGTCAGTTTGTAGCCTGAAAGGACCCTTCAGCTTTGAAGACTGACATGGAGATGACCAGTAAAACCAGGGGGAGCAGATGCAATTTGACTGAGGACAGTATGCCATTGGTAGTTTCAGGTACAAAGGACCCTAGGTTCTATGGGAGCCACAGAGATCAATGAACACTTTTAAGCTTGAATGGAAATACAGGTGGGTACCCAAAAGCAGGTGAATTTGGGCTGGACCCCTTCCCCTGCCCAGGTTTAGGTGAATGATTTATTCATTGCTTTCCGCACCACCTTTTGACATTCCCACCCCTATCCCCACATGCACCATCTTCCTTTCCATTCAGTCAGGGAGTCCCTTCACTGCTCCATGGCTACTCTAGTAGTCTTTGGCCTTGGACAGCAAGAGTCCTAGGGCAATGAGGATGAGCCTGGCCAGGACACTCTGGATGAGATTAGACATTAAGCAATCTGACTGAGAGTGGTGCAACCTAGGGGAGCAGTCATTCGGACAAAGGCTGCTACTGACAGAGGGTTTGGGCAACTCTAAGGAGACCAAGAAATTTGGGCCCATGGACCAGCACAAACCCCCCGATTCTGGTCCCAGCCCAGTCTTCTCCACCTTAGATGAGAGGTACTAATAACTCACAAATCTGTGCCTCTGCCTGGAGTGGCAAGGGTTGGGGCTTTGTGGAAGGTCCTGTGAACCTGGGATCAGGACTAGCTGGGGCTGTCACCACGTTGGAGGTCGTGGGATCCCTTGCTTGTCTGATGGATATTTCTGTAGGTGCGCCTGCAGCCTGCTTCTCCTTGTCCTCATTTCCCCAAAACATGGCCACTGAGGCAGATGAGGTACAATTATAGCCTCTGAGATACTGGCCAGGAGAGACAGGGTCGAGGTTAACAGATGTCCACCTTTCACTTATTGGTCAGGGGTTGGCTGTGCTTCCAGGGCCTCCTGGGAATTGGGAGGTGAAGATAGGGGATGAGGAGAAGGGAGTGAGTTGAGGTGAAGAGAGGGGTGGTCCTGGAAAAGAAGGTAAAAGGAAAAAGCTGTTGAATCATTTTTGACAACTTTTCAGAGCAGAGAAAACACAGTTACAAGGTTTTGTTTAGACATACAGATGAATCAGTATCAGTGAAGGAAGCTAACTGGCTTAAATCAAATTGGATACCCACCATTACCTTTAGCCTCACTTAAAAGGAAACTGCTGGCTAGAGAAAAAGGGCCAGGAAAGTAATTGGAGACAAGTAGCTTGACCCTCCAAAGGGCAGGTGGACAGGTGACCTTACAGATGGGCCTTTGGGCTCAGAAGTCCTGTAGGACACAAAACTAGTCAGGACTAATAATAATATAGCTAACATTTATATAGTGCCTACCATGTGCCCATCACTGAGCTAAGTGCCTTACAAATATTATCTAACTTGGCCCTCACAACTACCCCATGAGATCAGTGTTATCATTATCATCCCCATTGTATAAATGTGGGAACTGAGGCAAACAGAGGCAAAGTGACTAGCCCAGTGTGACATAGTTAGGAAGTATCTGAGGTCAGGTATCTGAGGTCTCACTCCAGGCCAGCACTCTCTCCACTGTGTCACTGAGCATGGAAGTTGTGGTGCAGACCTGGAGAGGGGATTGAGGTGGCATTTGCCCCTGGGTGCAGTGATCTGGGGACCCATCAGTGAGACATCAAGAGAATATAGAAGTAGTTTTTAGAACTTCAGTGGAGCTGTTGGGGCTCCAGGAGACCTTCTGACTGACTGCATTCAACCTTCTTGCCTACAGCTTTTTAAAGCCTGAAAGGCTATCAGTTACCTCTGGAAATGCCTCTACTCAAGTGTTCTGGATGGTGTGGGCAGTCAAAGGATTGTCTTAACCACAGGGCTTGGAATGATGACTGGGTGCAGAACTGAGTGGGGACATTGCTGGAATTTTGGAACGTAAGGTCAGACACCATGGCTATTGAACTAGCAAAGGCTTCTCAGAGCTGGGGGCAAAACTGGGTTTTAAGGGACCTGGCCTCCCTGGTTCCTCAGTTTCCCTACTGACCTCTGCTGGCTCTACTCCCTAAGATCACAGAATAACATACTGAAAGCTCTGAACAGTCTTGCTGGGGCATTTTTGGGTGAGCTGCTGATGCAGGCTAAAGGGAAACCCAAGACCCAGTAGGTTTTGTCACCTTTCCCCCACACTTTCCTCTGGGACTACAGACCCTGCCACCATGGAAGGTCAAGATCAAACCATGGAATTGCAGGAAAGAAAGGATCCTAGAAAATCAGAGTCCAACCAACCCATTTTATGTATGGGGACTAAAGAGGAACACAAAGAGGAGAGCATTTGTTCCAATAAAGAGAGTGACACCCATCCTGCCCCCTTCCAAAAGCTAGTGGGAGAGAAATGCTGTGTAACCCATGAAGACAATAAAGATGTCAAGTCACCACCACCATCTTCAACACCACCATCATCATCATTATCAACATCGTCATCTCCATCTTCATCATCATCATCATTACCTCCACCACCACCACCACCACCACCACCATTGTTACCCAGGCTCATAACCAGAGTTCTTGTGCCTAGAGACTTCTAGAACATGGAAGATGCCCTGAGCTATGGTTACATTTCTCCTTTATCTTTATGTACCTGCAGACACTTTGAAAGCCCTCTTGTGAAGAAAGAAAGAAGATGTGCTGAATAAAGCTTCAGTACCAATGAATGTTGACTGCTATAGGAACAGGGTATATGTGGGCACATGGGAGGGACAGGGGCAGTGAGACTTGGGCAAGGGGTGAAGGCAGAGCATAGCAGAGCAGGGAATAGTCATGGAATCTAGATGGATCCCAATGGGCTTAGTCCAGAGCCCTTTCACTCATTCATTCATTCATGTGGGGTTAGGAGCAAAAAACCTCCTCCCATCACTTCCCTTTATGGAGGCCTGAAAATGCCTTTCATCTCTTCATTTGCCAGCAGCTTCTTTGCTTGGTTTTGACTCTACTATCTACTATCATTTTCATCATGCCCAGGGCCAGGTACCTTCCGGCACTCCCTTCTCCCCCCAGCTCTTTTCAACTTCCTTTTATCACTTTCTTCAATAGATTGTAAGTTCCTTGAGGGCAGAGACTGTCCTCCATTTTTCTTATGTGCATCACTAGTGTTTGGCACAGTGCCTGGCACTTAGTATGCCCCTAATAAATGTTTGTCATATCATTTTGTATCATTTATTGCTTCACCCACTTAACAAATATATATTGTGTCTGCTATATGTAAAGGACAATGTTAGAGCTGTTGAAAGAAAAATAAAAGTGAAAAAACTTGCTCCTTCCCTCAAAGAGATTATGTTCTGCTGTGGAGAGGAAGAGAGAGATGGAGATAGATAGATAGAGAGACAGAGAGAGAGAGAGAGAGAGAGAGAGAGAGAGAGAGAGAGAGAGAGAGAGAGAGAGAGAGAAAGGAGGGATACAGGATGTATACAATGAGCCATAGGAATACAGTCATTTCAGGAAAGGGACAATGCCAAGAACTGGGGGGAAGAAGTGAAGCAGTGCCAGCCAGGGTCTGGGTAGAACTTGGTATCTGGGAAGCTTATCAAAGAAAACTGGCAATTCTAGAAAGCCAAAGGGAGGAGGGATGGTAGTTGAGGCAGGGGGCACTGTATCTGCAAATGTCCTGAGGTGGCATCATTTCCACAGAACCTCAAGCACTTAGTAATCTTCCTTGGGTTTTCTAGGAAGCCAACACTTGCTCCTCCCTGCTCCCTTCTCTGCATTCTAGTTTCCTGGCCTGACTGCTCAGGCATCAGCTGATTTTTGGGTCCCTTTTGGGAGCTCTGCCCTCACTCCTCCTCCAGCTATTCCAGGCTTCACCCAGGATGATCCCTAGGGTTACAAGGACTAGTGTGGCCAGGCCAATTTGTATTAGACTCCCCACAGTATAATCCTTTTGGGTAGAAGCTGAGAAATAGAAGGTCAGAGGCCATTATTGACATAAGAAAGGGGCTTTTCTATTCCAGGGGCCTTTGAAATACCCCAGCCCCTAGCCCGGTCCTTCCTCCCCTCCTGTTGGCTGAGCACTCCCAACAACTCACTCGTCTTCAGCTCTGGACAGCTTGGTGTGGGACAGGATCCCACCAGAGCTCCTGTGGAGGAGAAAAGGCAAAGGAAAGAAACTGAGATTCACTTTCCTGCTCCTAACCACTCTCATGGGGATGGATCCTTTAACTCTTGTCCTCCCCTGGCCTTCCTCTGATGCTTCCTCCTGGTTACCCTAGAGCTACATTCTTCCTATCTTTATCACTTCCCCAGAGGAGAGGTCATCCTTGAGAAGGGGGGCAGAGGGGCACAACCAGGGCATCTGAGACCACTAAGACAGGTGCTGAAGAGGCATGTCAATATGTCAAGTAGATTCTGAAAGGTCTGTGTAACTGGAGTATGGGCAGCCATAGATGGCAAGGAGGCAGCAGGGTAGTGAAAGAGTGTCCTCAGAGTAGACCTGTATTAGAAGAAGTGAGTTGGGTAGCTTCTGGGACAAAGAATGAACATCTGTGCACGGGGAGTTGGAGAGGAGAAGGCGACAGCAGTGACCCCTAAGACTGCTAGGAGATAGCATCAGGAGGGCGTGTATCTTTCTGGACAAGGCACCTTGGGAGCCATGATCATGCGTGATTTGCAGAGCTGATTCTGAGCCTCTCACATCTGCAAATCCTGGAGTAGCTACAGGCCCTGATTTGGCTCAGCCTTCTCAGAGGAAAGCAGCATGTGTGGTCGCTCTTTGAGATGAACCTCACAGGGCCAGTAGCTGGGACAAACCTTCATTTTTCTCTGTGCTCCACTCATGGCCCTGTGCTCTAAGGTGGTGCTGGACATGGAGATATCTATGGGGTCAGGGTATTGAACGTGTCAGTCAACAGATGATGGGAAGATTGTGTGAATTTCTGTCTAAGGTGATAGAAACAATGCTGGAATCCAACCAGAAAAATTCCCATCAGAATGAGGGTGGAGTCAAAAATTGGCAGGTAAGCCTAGGGATAGACTGGATAGGTCATTGAAAACCCATCTTGAGAATGAATCCTATGCCCATATCACCCGCAGGATACCTGTCCCATGTAGGAACAGCTGGTACACAGGGATGGAGGTGAAAGACATGCCCCTGTGGAGAGGCTCACGACACCTGCCGACGGGGGGCTCAGCTCTTCCTGAGTTAGGAAAGAGCTCCTCCCAACATACCTGTTTTCTAGGCATCTTTCAAAAGCCTTGCCCCAGGAACACAGATCTGAGATTTCCTCATTCCCCAGAACTCCTGAGAAGTAGGAGTCCATCCCTTTACTTCCATTGTTTCCCTCTCACCAACATCTCTTGAATGCTCTCCCCTTCTCTCCTCTGTGACTTGATGCAGACCTTCATCATGATGCAGCTGGACCACTGCAACAGCCTAATCTCAGCTCCAGCCTGTCTGCCACATATCTTCCCATGCTCCAAGACCCCCTCTATTCACCTGCCAAAGTGTGCTTCCCAAAAGGTAGGTCTGACTGCATCACTCCCCTATTCCATAAACTTCAGTGGCTCCCTTTGATTCCCAGGAGTGAACAGAAAGGTCCCTGTTCAGAGTTTACATCCCCTTCCTCCATTACTCCCTTCCACTACTCTCCTGCCCTCCACTAACTCTACGATCCATTTTCACTGACCTCTGTGAGGATGCTCACATATGATGCTCCACCCCCTGAATCTGTGCCTTTTCATTGGCTGGAATACTCTGCCCCCTCACCTCCTCTGGTCTTCCTCAGGCCTCGGCTAAGATCCCTCTTTCTGCAGGAGGCCATTCCCAGGTATGCTAGAGCCTCCTCTCTGAAATGACCACCCACCTTCCATGTCTATATCGTGTAGGCACAGGAATTTTTACATGTTGCCTCCATTAAAGTGTGAGCTTCTTGAGGGCAGGGACTGTCTTTGGCATTTTTTTGTATTCCCAGGAATTACCCCAGTGCCTAGCAAATAAGTGAGCCCTTAAGAGATACTTATTGATTGACAAGGACTCTGCATCATGGGGCATTAGCTGAAGTGGCCACATCTACTCTGCGTCCCCACAATTAATCTTGGTCCAGCCTCAGTTTCTTAACAGTGTTCACATCAGTCCCTTCCTTGCACTGCCTTCCCCTCAACTTCCCTGTATGAGTCTCTCAAGGCTGGATTTTCATTCCTCTGATGTTTCCTGGGGACAACAGGTGACTCCTCACCTGTCACCAAGATCTCTAGGACCTCGCTGGGCTCAGACACCTGGTATGAAGTCACCCTCCTGTGGTAGACACAGCTGTGGTTGCCAGCATCCTGGGCCCTCACAGAGAGGAAAGGAAAGGCAGCTGAGGTCCCAGCTGAGTTCTGGCTCTGCAGGGGCTTGGGGGTCCCCATCTTCAGCAGAGTGAATGTCACCCTCCAGAGGGATGACTGATGAGGCTGGCGGCACTGGGGAGTCACATGCATCCTGGGCTCCACCACAAGGCCAAGGAGGGCTGAGAGGGAAGGCTTGGGTAGAGATCCTGTGAGAGGGAGAACATGGGGCTGGAGTTAAGACAGCTGGGTCAAGCCCCTGCTCTGCCTCTGAGTCCCTGTGTGACCTTGGCCCAGTCACTGGCCCTGTCTGGGCCTCAGTTATCTTCTCTATAAATGATGGGGTTGACTAGAAGATCTCTCAGCCCTTTCTTCTTCTAGCAACCCGGGACTTTAGTGACTTTCACATTAGAGGGAGCTTATTTACCTATGGTCTTGGGCCTCTGATGACTCACAGGAGAGAAGGTCATGACCACTCACTTTTCATCAGGGCTATCACAGAGACCCAGGGCTCAGATCACGGCCCAGGAATGGGAAGGCTCAAGGTCATTTCCATGCTCTGTCACTAACTTGTGTGACCTTGGACAAGTCTTTCCCTCTCTCTGGGCCTCACTTTGCTCATTGGTAGTGGAGGATTTGACCTCAAGAACCTCCAAGGCCTCTTTCAGCTCTGGGTCTCTATGACTCTTCTCCCAACCCCCAGCACAGTCCCCACCATCACCTTTCTTCCCCAGTTTCTACATCAGAATAGAAATGCCTCATGTTTTCCAAGGCCCTTGAGTCCTGACAAACCCCAGGGCAGAGCTGGCTGTGTAGACACCAGGCCTTGTCTCAGTGACACACCTGTCTAGGCAGAGAGCAGAGGGGTCATACTCAGAGTTATTCTGGGCCCCACACACCCCTCTCACCTGGTACCAGCAGCTCCAGGGCCTCACTGGGCTCTGATCCTCTAGAAGATACTTTCCTTTCCCTGTAAGAACAGCTGTAGCTCCCAGTGTCTTCAGGTCTCACATATGGGATCAGGAAGCTAGTCCAGAGCTCTGCTGAGGCCTGCTGCTGTAAGGGTCTCAGCCTTATACAGAGTAAAGGTCACCTCTTCAAGGGAAGACAGCTTGGGCCTTGAGCACCAGAGAGTGATGTTGGCCCCTGGGGCCACCACGAATCCAGGTTGGGCCCACAGAGTGGGCCTGGGGAGCTGTCCTGAGGGGAAAAACACCAAATGTCAGAGTTAGATGTCATTTCTAGGCCCCCCCCACACCCTCAAACCCTTTAGTGAGAGGGGAAATAGCAACCTTGGCTCTGTTTTCACTTTCTTGTCTGGGGCCTGCCTTGAGCTGGGAATGCCCCCACTCTCCTGGGGCCCTAAGATAAGTCTGTGTAGAATAAGAGAGGGTCCCAGGGTCTCCTTCAGCCTCCCCCCCCAAACCATCTGTTTGGAATTCCCAGGATTTTGTGCTGTCCCCATGGCTCGGTGGGGCCCTATGTGGGTGCAGGATTTGGGGATTTGGGGGTTCCCATCTCCATTCATCAAGCACAGTCAGCTCCAGGGCCTGCTGGGATGGGACCCGATGTGCTGGGGCTGTCTCCTTGTAGTAAATACAGCTGTAGCTCCCACTGTCCTCGGGCCTCACAGACAGAAGTAAGAAAACAGCCCAGGTCCCTGCAGGGCTCCATTGATGGAAGGGCCGCAGGCTCTTTGCCTCCAGCAGGGCTAAGCTGTAGTTCTGAAGGGGAGTCTGGAGTGATAATTGTCACCAGATGGTCACTGCTGTCCCTGGGGATATTGGGGAGCCAGGTGAGGCTGAAATGGAGGGTTTGGGGAGGGCTCCTGTGAAAGGAGGGAAAAAAGTTAGGGACCCGATTTGTCACCCTGATCCCCTGAAATCATTCCCTGAAACACAGCTGAGAAGGGGGAGAGTGGGCTGAGGAGCCCTGGCCAGGCCTTTGCCCAGTCCTGTAGGTCTGTTCGTGTCTGGGTAACTGGGCTCCTGAGTCACCTTTAGAAAGCTATTCTGGGCCCAGGAAGACTGTGAATGTACAGAGACATGGGAGGAGAAGGTACTTGGGAAGAGGTGGTCACCCACCCCCACCTGCCCCTCCTCTCATCTCCTCCAAAGGGCCCAGCTCTGGCCCTACAGCCTGGTCCTGCTGGACCCTGGCAGGATCCTAAAGCACGATCACTGGCATATTCAGACCCTTCTGTTAAGCTTTGAGGTTTGCAAAGCTCTGTCCCCCCAATAACACCATGACTGGGAGGTTAGACAGAAACTCGAATTCCCAGTCCTCTCCCTTCCCCACTTCCCCACACTGCTGCCTGGTGCCAGGTCCCTGTCCTGCCACCCTATACCCACTCTTCAGTGAAAGCAGAACAGAGCTGGCAGAGTTGTGTTTCCCTGGGTGGGCAGGGGCTGGCAGAGGAGCATGGGGCTCCCTCTGAGATATTATTAGAGGAATTTAATTTTCTCTGTTTCTCCTGCCCTCATTCATCACCACTTATCAGGCACCTCCTTCTCAATGATGGAGGAGTCCCAAAGGTTTAGGGAAGGCACCATCCCTGCTGCCCTCAGGAGCTCACAGTCCCAGGGATCTCAGGGGTTTGAGCTCAGATCATGTCATTGGACAATCCAGCCTATGATCTTCATGTCACAGAATAGGGAACCGAAGTCCGCAGAAGGTCAGGGACTTGCCCACAATGACCCAGCTAGGACCTGGGGGGCAAGAATTTGAACCCCCTGCCACAGACTCTGGATCTCAGGCTCCTCTTTAGCAGGATGCCTTCTAACACGGGCCAGATGGACGGCAGCCTGGGGTGGTGGGAAGGTCCTGATGATAAAGAGGGAGCGTGGGGGAGGTGAAGGCACCATGCTGGGAGGGCCCAGAGCCAGGACATTGGCACTGGATACAATCAGGGACACCATCCTGGAGCAGCCAGGATCTGAGCTGGACTTTAATGATGGGTAGGAAAGTGAAAGATGAAGGTGAGGAGGGCATCCCATGCAGGTAGAACTGTGTGAGCAAAGGCAGAAAGGTGGGGCATGATGGGAGGTGATGGAGTCATCTGTCCATGCTGAAGGGAAAGTAACGAAGGCAAAGGGAACAAGGGGAGACACAACTGGAGAGGATGGATGTGGCCAGTTTGGGCCTTAGAAGAGACAGGAAAAGTTTATTTGGATAAAGTTTGCTCTGGAAAAGTCGTGTGCCCCTGCTCCCAAAGGCTGCTGTGTATCCTCTGAGGGAGGAGCAGCCCAGCTCTCCTGGATGGGTCACCGGGGGACACTGACCACATAGGCAGATCCCTGGGTTTGGGGATGGGAGACATGGGTTCAAATGTTGGCCCTGGCAGGACCCATTGACCTGCTTAAGTCACCTTACCTCTTTTCCAGACCTCAGTTTCCCTTAAAGGAAAATCATGATGTATGTGCTCTCCTGCTTGCAGTATTATTGAGGGGAAAGATTTCAGAACCTAACTTATGCCCCCAAAATGTGAGCCAGAGACCAAGGGCTTCCAAGAACTTGGGGAGGTGGGGGTGGTAAGGGGAGGTAGGTAGTAAAGCCTGAGAGTTTGTCCCACTCATAGGACCCACTCCAGAGAGGGACCTGGGGCTCTTCTCTCAGGACTGACTTCCTTCCCACCAGGGATGGTGGTAGACCAGCACCCCTCACCTGTCACCACCAGGGCCAGGGCTTCACTGAACTCTGACCACCACACCCCCTGCCCAGAATGGCAGCTGTAGCTTCTTGCATCTCTCTGGACATCCACATTCCTGAACACGAACTCTGCCTGCTGCCAGGATGCATTTCTCTCATCTCTGAGCTCTCCATCCTTCCAGAGCTGGAATCTGTCACTCCCAGGTGGCCCTGGCACCTGAGGGTCACATCTGCTCCCTTGGGGACCACAGGACTTGGGACAGCCCAGATGATGGGCTGGAGCAGGGTGTCTGAGAAGAAACAAATTGATTTCCAGAGATTCCTCTGGCCCCAGCATCTTTCACCTCTGAATTTTGAGGCCCCTTCCTGAGTCACTCCCTCTATTTAACACAAAACTACTGGTTTCCTTCCCTAACTATCATGGGAATAGATGTCTAAATTGATTTGGCTTGAGAGGGAGAAAGGGAACAGTGGGATCTTGGGGGCAGGACTCACACATCTGTGCCCTCACTGCCCAGTCCAGACACAGCCCTGCAAGAGTAGCTCAGGTTATAGATGCTTCCCCTCCAGCCCACACTGACCATCCCCAGCTCTCACCAAAGCCCCTGGACCTCTCAGTCTGCTTTGGTCAGAATATGAAGGAAGAGCCCTTTGAGTATACACTAGGGCTGGGCTTTTCCACAGATGGTTTTATCTCCTCCTTAAGCTTCTTCCTTGTCCTTCTGAGTCAGCTAGTCTAGAATCTTGTCACAATGTCCTTCCCTCCCTAGATCCTCACCAATGGAGATCAGGAAAGTGACTGTGGGGCCCATGGTGGGTCTTCAGCTCTGTCCTGGGCTGCCTAGCCTCAACTGTACAGAGGGGAAAAGGTAGGTGGAGTAGAGGCTGGCCCAGGATGTGGTGGCCAGCCTTGCAGCCTTACACCCCCTAAGCCCAGCTTGCAAAATTTCAAATAACCATATGCATGTGAGTAGATACTTATTCATGTGAGAGGGAAAGCACTTGAAGCTGGGGAATGAGGAAAGACTGTCTTAAAGATTACATGTCAGTGGGGTCTTCAATGAATGGAGGGACCCTGTGAGGCAAAGATTGGGGAGGAGGGTTATAGATATTACAGGTAATCTAAATAAAAATATATCCCCATATAGATACAGATGTATGTGTATATTTAGACACACACATAGTGTGTGAAAATGTCACCCTCAATTTTTTTTTTATCTAATGATCTGGTGGTTTTAGTTAACGGAAAGTTTGACACATGGTGAGACAACCACCTCAAACTGCAGAGATCATTGCCTGCATTTTGAGAAGTGGTGTTGAGAACACATGTTGTGTTAGTGCTACTGTACCATGCCTCTGTCAGACCACATCTAGAGTGAGGTGGTCAGTGGTCAATGTGATCCTGTAGGAGGAAGGTGGATAAACTGGAGAAAATTTTGTGTGGGGTCATCTGAATGATTACAGTTCATAGATCTACTGGTAGAAGGGAGCTCAGAGGTAATCCATTCTAATCTCTAAGTTTTAAAGATGAGGAAACTGGATCCAGGAAATTTTAATGACATACTAAATGTTAGAAAATGGAAGACCATTCAATATGAAGATAGGTTAAAAGAATTGAGATGTATTTAGCCTAGTTAATAAATACTGGGGCACGCCATTGATATCTTTATTTTTAAAACAGATTTTTTTAATTAATATCTTTGAGTTTTTATATCTTCAGGATTTTTTCCAGTATACCTTTGGTACTTTTCCTTCATGGAGGATCTTCCTATAAAACTAATGATATTTTTAAGGGGAAATAGAAAAAGAAGAGGAAAAGTAGCAAATACAGTCAACACATTATATGAGTCTAAAAATACATGCAATGTATCAAACTCATGGAGTTCCCTTTTGCAGATGACTGGGATAAAAGTGTCTTCTTGTATTCTTACCTTATAAATTTTTGACTGGAGAAATTGGGCAAAGGTGGAAGACTGTGAGGATTAAACTCATTGAGGAAGGTTAATGTTTTGGTAATCGGTAGAGAAGAACAATCAGGGTTGGGTTGGATATTGTGAATCTCAGAGGAACAGGAGGAGGAGAATCTAGTAGTGAAAAAGAGAGCAAGGAATATTCCAAGTCTCTAAATGTTACCACAGGATTTGGGGGACATAACCTGTGCGGAGCTGTGGTTTGGAGAGAGAGGATTCTACTGCTAGAGCTCATGAGTCCTGCATACGAAAAAGTGTAATACAGTTTCCAGTTACCAGAAGTACTACTTTTTTTTTTCATTTAAGGAGTACTTATATAGGTCCCTGTAGGTACTACCCAACTTTTCTTCCTGGATCCTTGAAGAATCCTGAGGAAGCTATCTTTCCTCAGTTTGTCTCAGAAATCCTGGAATATTAATGATCACTGTCACCTATCACTAATATTGCAGGAACACTGATAGAAAGCAAATGAATGTGTTCAAATCTGGTGTTATGGGTTCATGTGGGTAAGATTAAGAGGCAGAAAATAGTATTAAATTATGAAGAGAATGAGAAAATTTTACCATATTTTTACAAAAATGTACAGAAAATGAGATTTTAAATTATGAAAAAAAGAAGTTGGAAGTCAGTGGAGGAATGAGTTGCACCTCAATTCCTTAGCTAAGGGGAAAAGAGATAAGAAAAACTAAGTAATTAGACAAAAGCAAGGAAGAAAAGTGAAGTGATAAGCAAAACTCTAAATCCAGGGAAAGAGGTTACCGGTGTTAATGGTAGTAGAGTAGATGTTGAGGCTGAGGGGAAGGCAGCTGGTAAAAAATATACTACAATCAAATGGATTGAGGTGAAATAACTTAAGATACATAATCCTGCATTTGTTTTTGAAGAGTTTAAAATTCCATTTTAGAAAAAAAAGAAATGGAGTAATATATAAACCTAAATCTTAGAAATTTAAATGGGAATGTAGTAATATTTTAAGAAAATGAAAAGAGAATGAGAGATTGGATCTATAAACACACACCCACAATTTGTTGCTTAGAAGAAACATATTTAAAAAAAAACCCTACAAAACCAGAAACCGAATAAAAATGAGAGGATGAAAAAAATTACTATGCATTAAGTAAATCCAAAAAGCAGAAGCTGCTGTCATGCCAAAAAACACATCAAGAAAAAAAAAACCATAACATAAAAAAGGATCAATAAGAAAACTACATTACACTGAAAGAAACTCATAGAAAACAAACCCAAATTAAAACTATATTTTCCAAGTGCCTTAACATCTAAATTCAGAAGGAAATATGAATCTAGCTATAAGAATCTATAAGCAATAACAAAATAGTAACAGGGAATTTCATTGTTTCTCATTCTGTCTGTTTTGGATACATGGAAAAGAAAACCAAACAAAAGGAAAATGTAGAACTGAAAAAAAAATTGCTGGAGAAACTACAGCTAAAATACTTATGGTGTCTCTAAGTGGAAATGCAAATGAATGCATAAGTCATTTAAAAATGATCTTATATAAAGCCCTAGAGATATTGCAAACACTTGCAAAAATTCAGAAGCAGTAAATACATTCTGTATAGACCACAACAATAAAAAATATAAATTGGCTCAGGAATCATAAACAAAAGACACAAATTCAAATAAAGACTTAACAATGAAATCCTAAGTAATGAGATATCTAAGAACAAATCAGAGAAATAATAAATACACAAAGGAGGAAGGTGATGGAAAAAAAACCATCCAAATTTACTGGGATACTACCAAAATAGTCTGGGTGGGAAAAAGCATGTCTTCAAATATACATCGACAAAATAGGAAAGAATAGGACTAATTAACTGAATAGTCATTAAATAGAGATTCAACAAATAAGCACATATAAAATAACCTCAAAAGAGGAGACATAAAAAATTAGAAGAGAAACACATAAAGTAGAAACAAAATCAATCCATAGAAATGACAAATACAACTGAAAGCTATTCTTTGAAGAGACTAAAAATTTGATAAATATTTAGCCAATACAGGTTAAAGAGGAGAGGTTATAAAATCAAATCAATAAAATAGCAACTGAAAGAGCAAGATCGAATCACAACAAAATAGAGGCAAGAAAAAGAATTATGTGCCTCAAGCACCTGCGTCCACGGCCGTGGTCTGATGCCGGCAGGGTGTGAAGAGAGAAAGAATCACAGGCCAGGTGGAAGATGTGAAGAACAAACTTTGTTTATTGAACTGAGGGCTCAGGCTTATATAGTACTGGATCAAGAAATAGTAACATTATTATTCATGAAAAGTACAAATCTAAT